TGTAAAATTTTACAGTTTTGACACTCAATCTTAAACTTTTCATTGAAAAAACACTAGAATATTAAAGGCAAAAAGTGAAAAAATTTAAAAGAAAACTATTTTTTGTTAATTTTTAGATTTTCAAAAGATGTAAAAAGTTATAATATTGGTAGTGTTGCACTTTGACCATCGGTACGGCCGGATTTGGACTCACTTGAAAAGTTCAAGTTTTTGGATATTTTACAAATTTGTTAATAAAGTAGAGTTATTTTGGCCTTTTTAATTATAAAAGTTGTTTTAATTTGGCAATTAAGGCCTTACTATAGCTCCCAGCCTACTACGAACAAAGTCAAAAATCGATTTTTATACGATAATGGAATTTAAAAATTTTTGTTTTTCTAAAATTAGAAATTATCGAATAAATTTTATGATGTTCGACTCTAAAGCTCATGATTTTACAATTTAAAATTATTAAACTATAATTTCAGCTTTAAAATCTTACAATTTTAAAATTTTACTCTTGACATTTGGGGATTAATAAAATTCTAGTTGTAAAATATCAGTTTTACAATTTTAAATTTACACAAAAATTTTGAAATCTTGATTCTGTGAATTTTATTATCTTAGTTAGTTTTAAAATTTTACAGTTTTACGAATTCTTGCCAATTTGATTGATTCACTTGAATATTTTACAATTTCAGAATTTTACAAGCAGTTTTACAACTTTGCAATTCAGTTTTTTGATTTTGTTTTACCAAAAATCTTACAATTTTAAAATTTTACTCTTGACATTTGGGATTTTTTATTAAAAAATTCGAAATTTGCTATTAAGAGTCTTACATTTTTCAATTTTACATTTAATAAAATTCTAGTTGTAAAATTTTAGTTTTACAATTTTACATTTACACAAAAATTTTGAAAACATGATTCTGTAAATTTTATTATCTTAGTTTTAAAATTTTACAATTTCAGAATTTTTCAAGCAGTTTTACAATTTTACAATTCAGTTTTTTGATTTTGTTTTTTTACCAACCCCTCTAAACCAAAATCACTGCCAAAATTCGAAATCATCAACCGTTAGAATAATAGACCAATAATAAGTCAACTAATAAGGGTGGGGGGTGCACAGCTTCCGTGATCCACATCTTATCTTAACCCTTTCTCCACCAACACTTCACACGAAGCAGGCCGTGAATAATAAATTACCGTGCAATTGTTTTAAAACAAAAGAAAACAAAAATGTTTAATGGGTAAGTCGAAATAATCCCCCCTTAATCTAATTCACAAAAAAATAAAATAAAATCAATAATTCGTTTTTATTACGTTTTCTACAATTTTTTACTTAATATTAGATTTGGGGGTTAGAAAACCGTTAGAAAAATGGCGGTTGACCAATCAGAATCGGGTAGCAACAAAAACTGGATTCTAATTGGACACTATTGGGACTCACTTCTAATTACTTTTTCGGGTGATTAATTGATTAAATAAATACGAAATTTTTTTTTGGTGTTTAAATCATGACATTTTGGTCGCCACTAGCAGACCCACATTTTGAGTATCACTGATATTTGTTGACATTGCATAATGACAGCAAAAAGTAAGGTTATGTAACACATTTTAATCGTTGAAAAACTGCAAAAAGGGGCCCCAACCCCGTAAAATCATGTCGACTCGTATCAAACGCAAGCACAGGTTTGGCCACCCCCCATTTGGGGCCCCTCACTCTTGATTTTTTCCAGACTGTCTTTCTGGGACAAAGTGGACATGGATGTGCTCGAAGCCACGTCGGAAACGTTCCGAATCGAGGTGGACAAAGCCTTCCAGGGCTTCCTGGCCGATGGGGGCGCCAAGGAGTACTCCTTCCCCTCGAATTTGAACAACTTCGAACGCAAACACATCCACCAGAAGGCCGCGATGTACAATTTGGTGTCTCGGAGCCACGGCAAGGACCCCCATCGCGTCCTCACCATCTACAAAAGGGGCACCAAGTCCAACTTCGAGTCTTTTTACGTGGAGCTCACCCCCGAGAGCACCCGCGAACTGGACAACACAATCCAGAGCTACGTGAGCGACTTCTCGGCCCGCAGCCCCCAACGTCTGACCAGTCGCGACAAAGTCTTCGGGAAGCTGTCTCTGGGGCCCCCGCCCGACGTCACCCAGGCGCGCCCCACGCCCCAAATCGCCCGCTTCCGTCTCCAACTCCCCATCTACGAGATGAAAGACACCATCGTGGAGAAAATCCGCCAAAATCAGGTCTTGATCGTGTCTTCGGAGACAGGCTCGGGGAAGACCACCCAAATCCCCCAATACATCATGGACGACGCCCTCCAAAGGGGGGCCAAATGCCGGATTTTGTGCACCCAACCGCGTCGCATCTCCGCCGTTTCGGTCGCTGAGAGGGTCTCGCAGGAGCGGGGGGCCCCCTTGGGGGAGTCGGTGGGGTACCACATCCGACTCGAGTCGAAACTCGGCACTAATTGCAATTTGATCTACTGCACGAATGGGGTCCTGGTGCGGAGTCTCATGTCGGGCATGGGGGTCCTCTCCTGTCTCACACACATCATCATCGACGAGGTGCACGAACGTGACAAACTCTCCGATTTTCTCCTCATTTGCTTGAGGGAGAGTCTCAGAAAGGGGGCCCCCATTAAGTTGGTGCTCATGTCGGCGACGATCAATGTTGAGAAATTTCAGAGGTATTTTGAGGGGGCTGCCGTGTTGGGGGTACCGGGACGGTTGTTTGCCATTAGGGAGTTTTTCCTCGATGATGTGTTGGAATTGACGGGGTATGATGCTGTTGTTATGGAAAGGAGGAATGTCTTTGAGGGGGCTGTCGAAAATCGGTTGTTTGATGATGTTATTAGTCATATTGTGCATGGGGGGGCTGAGACTGAGCAAAATTGGGCACAATTATTGCAATTTGTTTTGACTGATATGCCGGTGAATTACCGACATTCGGAGACAGGGTTGACGGCGTTAATGGCGGCTGTGTATCAGGATAATGTCGATATGGTGGAGAAATTGTGCAGTTTGGGTGAGTACAATTTTACAATTTTACAATTTTACAATTTTACAATTTTACAATTTTACAATTTTACAATTTTACAATTTTACAATTTTACAATTTTACAATT